CCATTCCTGTGACCAGTCACAAGCTAATCCCTTAGCTATTTCAATGCTAAATTACTAGTTGCCTCTGTGGATGTGTAGGCTTTGACTTTAACATAGCCATTCCTGTGACCAGTCACAAGCTAATCCCTTAGCTATTTCAATGCTAAATTACTAGTTGCCTCTGTGGATGTGTAGGTTTTGACTTTAACATAGCCATTCCTGTGACCAGTCACAAGCTAATCCCTTAGCTATTTCAATGCTAAATTACTAGTTGCCTCTGTGGATGTGTAGGCTTTGACTTTAACATAGCCATTCCTGTGACCAGTCACAAGCTAATCCCTTAGCTATTTCAATGCTAAATTACTAGTTGCCTCTGTGGATGTGTAGGTTTTGACTTTAACATAGCCATTCCTGTGACCAGTCACAAGCTAATCCCTTAGCTATTTCAATGCTAAATTACTAGTTGCCTCTGTGGATGTGTAGGCTTTGACTTTAACATAGCCATTCCTGTGACCAGTCACAAGCTAATCCCTTAGCTATTTCAATGCTAAATTACTAGTTGCCTCTGTGGATGTGTAGGCTTTGACTTTAACATAGCCATTCCTGTGACCAGTCACAAGCTAATCCCTTAGCTATTTCAATGCTAAATTACTAGTTGCCTCTGTGGATGTGTAGGCTTTGACTTTAACATAGCCATTCCTGTGACCAGTCACAAGCTAATCCCTTAGCTAATTCAATGCTAAATTACTAGTTGCCTCTGTGGATGTGTAGGCCTTGACTTTAACATAGCCATTCCTGTGACCAGTCACAAGCTAATCCCTTAGCTATTTCAATGCTAAATTACTAGTTGTCTCTGTGGATGTGTAGGCTTTGACCAGTCACAAGCTAATCCCTTAGCTATTTCAATGCTAAATTACTAGTTGCCTCTGTGGATGTGTAGGCTTTGACTTTAACATAGACATTCCTGTGACCAGTCACAAGCTAATCCTTTAGCTATTTCAATGCTAAATTACTAGTTGCCTCTGTGGATGTGTAGGTTTTGACTTTAACATAGCCATTCCTGTGACCAGTCACAAGCTAATCCTTTAGCTATTTCAATGGTAAATTACTAGTTGCCTCTGTGGATGTGTAGGTTTTGACTTTAACATAGCCATTCCTGTGACCAGTCACAAGCTAATCCCTTAGCCATTTCAATGCTAAATTACTAGTTGCCTCGGTGGATGTGTAGGTTTTGACTTCAACATAGCCATTCCTGTGACCAGTCACAAGCTAATCCCTTAGCTATTTCAATGCTAAATTACTAGTGGCCTCTGTGGATGTGTAGGCTTTGACTTTAACATAGCCATTCCTGTGACCAGTCACAAGCTAATCCCTTAGCTATTTCAATGCTAAATTACTAGTTGCCTCTGTGGATGTGTAGGTTTTGACTTTAACATAGCCATTCCTGTGACCAGTCACAAGCTAATCCCTTAGCTATTTCAATGCTAAATTACTAGTTGCCTCTGTGGATGTATAGGCTTTGACTTTAACATAGCCATTCCTGTGACCAGTCACAAGCTAATCCCTTAGCTATTTCAATGCTAAATTACTAGTTGCCTCTGTGGATGTGTAGGCTTTGACTTTAACATAGCCATTCCTGTGACCAGTCACAAGCTAATCCCTTAGCTATGTCAATGCTAAATTACTAGTTGCCTCTGTGGATGTGTAGGTTTTGACTTTAACATAGCCATTCCTGTGACCAGTCACAAGCTAATCCCTTAGCTATTTCAATGCTAAATTATTAGTTGCCTCTGTGGATGTGTACGTTTTGACTTTAACATAGCCATTTCCGTGACCAGTCACAAGCTAATCCCTCAGCTATTTGATATGTAAACCCCTTTGTCAAGGTGCCTCACTTCTCCCAACCAGCTTAAAAGTCGCTACGAATCTTAACATCGTTCATTGAAGCTCTGTCGTCCCGACAGGTCTGCACCTTTCACCTGAAGACGGCCGCTTGCGTTCTGGCCAAAACGTCGTGAGAATTTTGTTGTGTTATTGTATTATTTTATTCTCATTCTACGTGACCTTACCGAAAGAACCAAAGAAGATGAATCCTTGCAGTCACGAAAGCTTTAAATCGAAAAGGCTCCTCCTATGTTGTGATATACTAACAGTGGCATTGTCCTGGTGCTGGTCACCTTTGTGTAATTGCCCTCTGGACTAGCACTGCATGAGTCTAGTCTCTAGAGAAGGCTGCTGCTGTCTTGTCTCTGTGGCGTGTTGGACAATCAGCGTCACGCAAACACAATGCCACCGTCATCATCATCATGTTCACTACTCACCCCGTTGCGCGTGTGGTGAGTGCATTGATGAAATTCCTTGACGGGAGGTTTCAGTTTTGAGACCTGTAACACAGCTGCTGTTGTATTTACTGCCACACAGGGTCAAAGGTCTACCTCTGATGTCGTGATATACTAACAGTGGCATTGTCCTGGTGCTGGTCACCTTTGTGTAATTGCCCTCTGGACTAGCACTGCATGAGTCTAGCCTCTAGAGAAAGCTGCTGCTGTCTGTCTCTGTGGCGTGTGGGACAATCAGCGTCACGCAAACACAATACCACCGTCATCATCATCATCATAGGCTGGCGGAGGAGCGTGGTGATTGTGTCTGGATGTTCACTACCCACCCCGTTGCGCGTGTGGTGAGTGCAGTGATGGAATTCCTTGACGGGAGGTTTAAGTTTTAAGATCTGTAACACAGCTGCTGTTGTATTTACTGCCACACAGGGTCAAAAGCCTACCTCTGATGTCGTGATATGCTAACAGTGGCATTGTCCTGGTGCTGGTCACCTTTGTGTAATTGCCCTCTGGACTAGCACTGCATGAGTCTGGTCTCTAGAGAAGGCTGCTGCTGTCTTGTCTCTGTGGCGTGTGGGACAATCAGCGTCACGCAAACACAATGCCACCGTCATCATCATCATCATAGGCTGGCGGAGGAGCGTGGTGATTGTGTCTGAATGTTCACTACCACCCCCCGTTGCGCGTGTGGTGAGTGCAGTGATGGAATTCCTTGACGGGAGGTTTCAGTTTTGAGATCTGTAACACAGCTGCTGTTGTATTTACTGCCACACAGGGTCAAAGGCCTACCTCTGATGTCGTGATATGCTAACAGTGGCATTGTCCTGGTGCTGGTCACCTTTGTGTATGCATGAGTCTAGTCTCTAGAGAAGGCCGCTGCTGTCTGTCTCTGTGGCGTGTTGGACAATCAGCGTCACGCAAACACAATGCCACCATCATCATCATCATGTTCACTACCCCCCCGTTGCGCGTGTGGTGAGTGCAGTGATGGAATTCCTTGACGGGAGGTTTCAGTTTTGAGATCTGTAACACAGCTGCTGTTGTTTTTACTGCCACACAGGGTCAAAGGTCTACCTCTGATGTCGTGATATACTAACAGTGGCATTGTCCTGGTGCTGGTCACCTTTGTGTATGCATGAGTCTAGTCTCTAGAGAAGGCTGCTGTCTGTCTGTCTCTGTGGCGTGTTGGACAATCAGCGTCACGCAAACACAATGCCACCATCATCATCATCATCATGTTCACTACCCCCCCGTTGCGCGTGTGGTGAGTGCATTGATGGAATTCCTTGACGGGAGGTTTCAGTTTTGAGATCTGTAACACAGCTGCTGTTGTATTTACTGCCACACAGGGTCAAAGGTCTACCTCTGATGTCGTGACATACTAACAGTGGCATTGTCCTGGTGCTGGTCACCTTTGTGTATGCATGTGTCTAGTCTCTAGAGAAGGCTGCTGCTGTCTGTCTCTGTGGCGTGTTGGACAATCAGCGTCACGCAAACACAATGCCACCATCATCATCATCATGTTCACTACCCCCCGTTGCGCGTGTGGTGAGTGCAGTGATGGAATTCCTTGACGGGAGGTTTCAGTTTTGGTGTTTTAAAAACATCTTGAACACACCAGCTGTTTTATGACAGCCATGCTGTGCCAGGCTAGGTGCACGAGGAGCAGGTCACGTGACAGACCCTGCAGGTGCCACGGGTTGACTGCTGCTGCTGCTGTGCCAGGCTAGGTGCACGAGGAGGAGGTCACGTGACAGACGCAGCAGGCGCCACGGGTTGACTGCTCCTGCTGTGCCAGGCTAGGTGCACGAGGAGGAGATCACGTGACAGACCCAGCAGGTGCCACGGGTTGACTGCTGCTCCTGCTGTGCCAGGCTAGGTGCACGAGGAGCAGGTCACGTGACAGACCCAGCAGGTGCCACGGGTTGACTGCTGCTGCTGTGCCAGGCTAGGTGCACGAGGAGGAGATCACGTGACAGACCCAGCAGGTGCCACGGGTTGACTGCTGCTGTGCCAGGCTAGGTGCACGGGGAGGAGATCACGTGACAGACCCAGCAGGTGCCACGGGTTGACTGCTGCTGCTGTGCCAGGCTAGGTGCACGAGGAGCAGGTCACGTGACAGACCCAGCAGGTGCCACGGGTTGACTGCTGCTGCTGCTGTGCCAGGCTAGGTGCACGAGGAGGAGGTCACGTGACGGACCCAGCAGGTGCCACGGGTTGACTGCTGTGCCAGGCTAGGTGCACGAGGAGCAGGTCACGTGATATTTAGCGATATCGACATTACCACGATATATCGTGTCATCCACGATATATCGTGGATGACACGGAGCGATATCGCGATATATCGTCACCCAAGCCGGGTGACTGTCGCCAATGGATCAAGTGACGTCATTTCCGCACCCCCGAGTGACGTCACCGGCTCCCATGCACCAGAATGACGTCATCGTCTCCCATACAACGTGACGTCACCGCCGCACTGGGGTCCGAGCGACGTAAAAAACGATCGCACGGGCCGAGTGACGTCTCCCGCTCGTCACCCGGCGGAGTGACGTCATCGCAACGCCCACGGACCGTTGGTCTTCCTAACCAAGTGACGTCATCTTGCAACACACCGGCCGAGTGACGTCATCGTCTCCCACTTCAAAAGTGACATCGTCGCTTCCTAACCGAGTGACGTCATCCCGCGAGCCCGTGGCCGAGTGACGTCATCACTTCCGAACCGAGTGACGTCACCGCGCATCCCAACTCGCTGGCGACGTCACCCCCCCGCGTTATAAGAAATAAAATCGCGTTTATAGGGGAATAAAAAAGATAATTAATTTGATAATTTTAAAAAAAATAAACTTCCCCTTGCTGAGTGGCGGCGATGGAGAAGCTGAAGTCGCTGGCCTCGAGCACGGAGAACGTCTTCCTGTTCGTGCCAAACATCATCGGTGAGTCTGTGGTGAGTCTGTGTGTGTGGTGGTGAGTAGTGGTGAGTCTCTGTGTGTGTGTAGTGGTGAGTCTCTGTGTGTGTGTAGTGGTGAGTCTGTGGTGGTGGTGGTGAGTAGTGGTGGTGAGTAGTGGTGGTGAGTAGTGGTGAGTCTCTGTGTGGTGTGGTGTGGTGGTGAGTAGTGGTGAGTCTCTGTGTGTGTGTGGTGGTGGTGAGTAGTGGTGAGTAGTGGTGAGTCTGTGTGTGTGTGTAGTGTGTGTGTGTAGTGTGTGTGTGTAGTGGTGAGTAGTGGTGGTGAGTAGTGGTGGTGAGTAGTGGTGAGTCTGTGGTGGTGGTGGTGAGTAGTGGTGAGTCTCTGTGTGTGGTGAGTAGTGGTGAGTAGTGGTGGTGAGTAGTGGTGAGTCTGTGGTGGTGGTGAGTAGTGGTGAGTCTCTGTGTGTGTAGTGGTGAGTAGTGGTGGTGAGTAGTGGTGAGTCTGTGGTGGTGGTGGTGAGTAGTGGTGAGTCTGTGGTGGTGGTGGTGAGTAGTGGTGGTGAGTAGTGGTGGTGAGTAGTGGTGAGTCTGTGGTGGTGGTGGTGAGTAGTGGTGGTGAGTAGTGGTGAGTCTCTGTGTGTGTGTGGTGTGTGTGTGTAGTGGTGAGTCTCTGTGTGTGTGTGTGGTGAGTCTCTGTGTGTAGTGGTGAGTCTCTGTGTGGTGTGGTGGTGGTGAGTAGTGGTGAGTAGTGGTGGTGAGTAGTGGTGAGTCTCTGTGTGTAGTGGTGAGTCTGTGGTGGTGGTGAGTAGTGGTGGTGAGTAGTGGTGAGTCTCTGTGTGGTGTGGTGGTGGTGAGTAGTGGTGGTGAGTAGTGGTGGTGGTGGTGAGTAGTGGTGGTGAGTAGTGGTGGTGAGTAGTGGTGAGTCTGTGGTGGTGGTGGTGGTGAGTAGTGGTGGTGAGTAGTGGTGAGTCTCTGTGTGTGTGTGGTGTGTGTGTGTAGTGGTGAGTCTCTGTGTGTGTGTGTGGTGAGTCTCTGTGTGTAGTGGTGAGTCTGTGTGTAGTGGTGGTGGTGGTGTGTAGTGGTGAGTCTCTGTGTGTAGTGAGTCTGTGTGTGGTGGTGGTGAGTAGTGGTGAGTAGTAGTGGTGAGTAGTGGTGAGTCTCTGTGTGTAGTGGTGAGTCTGTGGTGGTGGTGAGTAGTGGTGGTGAGTAGTGGTGAGTCTCTGTGTGGTGTGGTGGTGGTGAGTAGTGGTGGTGAGTAGTGGTGGTGAGTAGTGGTGAGTCTGTGGTGGTGGTGAGTAGTGGTGAGTAGTGGTGAGTCTGTGGTGGTGGTGGTGAGTAGTGGTGGTGAGTAGTGGTGCGTCTGTGGTGGTGGTGGTGAGTAGTGGTGGTGAGTAGTGGTGGTGAGTAGTGGTGAGTCTGTGGTGGTGGTGGTGAGTAGTGGTGGTGAGTAGTGGTGAGTCTCTGTGTGTGTGTGGTGTGTGTGTGTAGTGGTGAGTCTCTGTGTGTGTGTGTGGTGAGTCTCTGTGTGTAGTGGTGAGTCTGTGTGTAGTGGTGAGTCTCTGTGTGTAGTGAGTCTGTGTGTGTGTAGTGGTGAGTAGTGGTGAGTCTCTGTGTGGTGTGGTGGTGGTGAGTAGTGGTGAGTAGTGGTGGTGAGTAGTGGTGAGTCTCTGTGTGTAGTGGTGAGTCTGTGGTGGTGGTGGTGAGTAGTGGTGGTGAGTAGTGGTGAGTCTCTGTGTGTGTGTGGTGTGTGTGTGTAGTGGTGAGTCTCTGTGTGTGTGTGTGGTGAGTCTCTGTGTGTAGTGGTGAGTCTGTGTGTAGTGGTGGTGGTGGTGTGTAGTGGTGAGTCTCTGTGTGTAGTGAGTCTGTGTGTGTGTAGTGGTGAGTAGTGGTGAGTCTCTGTGTGGTGTGGTGGTGGTGAGTAGTGGTGAGTAGTGGTGGTGAGTAGTGGTGAGTCTCTGTGTGTGTGTAGTGGTGAGTAGTGGTGAGTCTCTGTGTGTGTGTGTGGTGAGTCTCTGTGTGTAGTGGTGAGTCTCTGTGTGTGTGTGTGGTGGTGGTGAGTAGTGGTGAGTCTCTGTGTGTGTGTAGTGGTGAGTAGTGGTGAGTCTCTGTGTGTGTGGTGAGTATCTGTGTGTAGTGGTGAGTCTGTGTGTAGTGGTGGTGGTGTGTAATGGTGAGTCTCTGTGTGTAGTGAGTCTGTGTGTGTGTAGTGGTGAGTAGTGGTGAGTCTCTGTGTGGTGGTGGTGGTGTGTAGTGGTGAGTCTCTGTGTGTAGTGAGTCTGTGTGTGTGTAGTGGTGAGTAGTGGTGAGTCTCTGTGTGTGTGGTGGTGGTGAGTAGTGGTGAGTCTCTGTGTGGTGTGGTGGTGGTGAGTAGTGGTGAGTCTCTGTGTGTGTAGTGGTGAGTCTCTGTGTGTGTGTGTGTAGTGGTGAGTCTCTGTGTGTGTGTGTAGTGGTGAGTCTCTGTGTGTGTGTGTAGTGGTGAGTCTGTGGTGGTGGTGGTGGTGAGTAGTGGTGAGTCTCTGTGTGTGTGTGTGGTGAGTAGTGGTGAGTCTCTGTGTGTAGTGAGTCTGTGTGTGTGTAGTGGTGAGTAGTGGTGAGTCTCTGTGTGAAGTGAGTCTCTGTGTAGTGGTGGTGAGTAGTGGTGAGTCTCTGTGTGGTGGTGGTGAGTAGTGGTGAGTAGTGGTGAGTCTCTGTGTGGTGGTGGTGAGTAGTGGTGAGTCTCTGTGTGTGTGTGTGGTGGGTGTCTGTGTGTGTGTGGTGAGTCTCTGTGTGGTGGTGGTGAGTAGTGGTGAGTCTCTGTGTGGTGGTGGTGAGTAGTGGTGAGTCTCTGTGTGTGTGTAGTGGTGGTGGTGGTGAGTAGTGGTGAGTCTCTGTGTGTGTGTAGTGGTGGTGGTGGTGAGCAGTGGTGAGTCTCTGTGTGGTGGTGGTGAGTAGTGGTGAGTCTCTGTGTGTGTGTAGTGGTGAGTCTCTGTGTGGTGGTGGTGAGTAGTGGTGAATCTCTGTGTGTGTGTGTAGTGGTGGTGGTGGTGAGTCTCTGTGTGGTGGTGGTGGTGGTGAGTAGTGGTGAGTCTTTGTGTGGTGGTGATGAGTAGTGGTGAGTCTCTGTGTGTGTGTAGTGGTGGTGGTGGTGAGTAGTGGTGAGTCTCTGTGTGGTGGTGGTGGTGAGTAGTGGTGAGTCTCTGTGTGTAGTGGTGGTGAGTCTCTGTGTGGTGGTGGTGAGCAGTGGTGAGTCTGTGTGTGTGTGTAGTGGTGAGTCTGTGTGTGTGTGTGGTGAGTCTCTGTTTGTGTGTAGTGGTGAGTCTCTGTGTGTGTAGTGGTGAGTCTCTGTTTGTGTGTAGTGGTGAGTCTCTGTGTGTGTAGTGGTGAGTCTCTGTGTGTGTGTGTAGTGGTGAATCTGTGTGTGTGTAGTGGTGAATCTGTTTGTGTGTGTAGTGGTGAGTCTGTGTGTGTGTAGTGGTGGTGGTGGTGAGCAGTGGTGAGTCTCTGTGTGGTGGTGGTGGTGGTGAGTCTGCGTGTGTGTGTGGTGAGTCTCTGTGCGGTGGTGAGTCTGTGTGTGTGTAATGGTGAGTCTCTTCTAGATTTAAAGCTTTCGTGACTGCAAGGATCCATACTCGTTGGTTCTATTCGGTAAAGTCACGTAGGTAAAAATAAAATAACAAAACAATAACGACGTTTCGGCCACAACACAAGCGGCCTTCATCAGGTGAAGGGACCGTGCTGTCCAGAGGACAGCGTTGGAGTGAAGACAGCCAAACCCAGGTCGTGTCCTTCAAGCTGTGTCGGAGGAAACAAAAAAACCGCCTTGACAAAGGAATTAGCATCAAATGACGTACTACTGTGAAAGTTTGGGATACCACTACTTGAAAAAAATATATACTGTACCGTTGAAAATTAGTTTAATGTTTGGTTTGACTCAGAACATCTTTCCAATGGTTGCTTAATTTGAAACCATCCTCTCGGTGAGAAATTGTGCCTGCGTTTGTAGATCTGAATTGCCTCGTGAACAAATCTCTGATATAAAAAAAGCCCGTGGGTTTGCAAAGAACCTTGGTGTCGGAGAAAATTATATCGTGATCACCCGCAGCGTTGTAACAGTGATCAGCCACGGCAGAAGAATTCGTTCTGCCGTGTTTCAAATCTGATTTTGTGCTCGCGAATTCGGTCAGAGGCATGTCGCTTCGTCTCACCGATGTAGCAGTCACCGCAGGTGCAGCTCAATTTGTTGTGGTGGTGGTGCCAGGCTATGTGCACGTGGCGCGTGCTATGATTGTGGTGGTGGTTGTGTTTGCGGTGGTTGTGTTGGTGATTGTGGTGGTTGTGTTGGTGATTGTGGTTGTTGTGGTTGTGTTGGTGATTGTGGTTGTATTGGTGATTGTGTTGATGATTGTGGTTGTTGTGGTGGTGGTTGTGGTGATTGTGGTTGTTGTGGTGGTTGTTGTGGTGGTGGTGCCAGGCTATGTGCACGTGGCGCGTGCTATGATTGTGGTGGTGGTTGTGTTTGCGGTGTTTGTGTTGGTGATTGTGGTTGTATTGGTGATTGTGTTGATGATTGTGGTTGTTGTGGTGGTTGTTGTGTTTGTTGTGGTGGTTGTTGTGGTGGTGGTTGTTGTGGTGGTGCCAGGCTATGTGCACGTGGCGCGTGCTATGATTGTGGTGGTGGTTGTGTTTGCGGTGGTTGTGTTGGTGATTGTGGTGGTTGTTTTGGTGATTGTGTTGATGATTGTGGTTGTTGTGGTGGTGGTTGTTGTGGTGGTTGTGTTGTGGTGGTTGTTGTGGTGGTAGTGGTTGTTGTGGTTGTTGTGGTGGTGCCAGGCTATGTGCACGTGGCGCGTGCTATGATTGTGGTGGTGGTTGTGTTTGCGGTGGTTGTGTTGGTGATTGTGGTGGTTGTGTTGGTGATTGTGGTTGTTGTGGTTGTGTTGGTGATTGTGGTTGTGTTGGTGATTGCGTTGATGATTGTGGTTGTGTTGGTGATTGTGGTTGTTGTGGTGGTGATTGTGTTTGTTGTGGTTGTTGTTGTGGTTGTGGTGGTGGTGCCAGGCTATGTGCACGTGGCGCGTGCTATGATTTGTGGTGGTGGTTGTATTTGCGGTGGTTGTGTTGGTGATTGTGTTGGTGATTGTGGTTGTTGTGGTGATTGTGTTGATGATTGTGGTTGTTGTGGTGGTTGTGTTGGTGATTGTGGTTGTGTTGGTGATTGTGGTTGTTGTGGTGGTTGTTGTGGTGGTGATTGTGTTTGTTGTGGTTGTTGTTGTGGTTGTGGTGGTGGTGCCAGGCTATGTGCACGTGGTGCGTGCTATGATTTGTGGTGGTGGTTGTGTTTGCGGTGGTTGTGTTGGTGATTGTGGTTGTGTTGGTGATTGTGGTTGTGTTGGTGATTGTGGTTGTTGTGGTGATTGTGTTGATGATTGTGGTTGTTGTGGTTGTGTTGGTGATTGTGGTTGTGTTGGTGATTGTGGTTGTGTTGGTGATTGTGTTGATGATTGTGGATGTTGTGGTGGTTGTGTTGGTGATTGTGGTTGTGTTGGTGATTGTGGTTGTTGTGGTGGTTGTTGTGGTGGTGATTGTGTTTGTTGTGGTTGTTGTTGTGGTTGTGGTGGTGGTGCCAGGCTATGTGCACGTGGTGCGTGCTATGATTTGTGGTGGTGGTTGTGTTTGCGGTGGTTGTGTTGGTGATTGTGGTTGTGTTGGTGATTGTGGTTGTGTTGGTGATTGTGGTTGTTGTGGTGATTGTGTTGATGATTGTGGTTGTTGTGGTTGTGTTGGTGATTGTGGTTGTGTTGGTGATTGTGGTTGTGTTGGTGATTGTGTTGATGATTGTGGATGTTGTGGTTGTTTTGGTGATTGTGTTTGTTGTGGTGGTTGTGGTGGTTGTTGTGGTTGTGGTGGTGGTGCCAGGCTATGTGCGCGTGACGCGTGCTATGATTGTGGTGGTTGTGTTTGAGGTGGTTGTGTTGGTGATTGTGGTTGTGTTTGTTGTGGTGGTTGTTGTTGTGGTTGTTGTTGTGGTGGTGGTGCCAGGCTATGTGCGCGTGGCGCTGGCTCTCGCTGCCTTTGCCACAATGCCGTGGAGCCCCCTGGCGGCCTGTGGCCTTTACCTGTGCAGCGGTCTCCTGGACGCCGTGGATGGGCACGCGGCTCGCTCGCTCAACCAGAGTCAGTTCACAACAACAACAACATTACATACAACAACAACATTATATACAACATTATATACAACAACATTACATACAACAACAACATTATATACAACAACATTACATACAACAACCACAACAACATTACATACAACAACAACATTACATACAACAACATTACATACAACAACAACATTACATACAGTGACACACACACAGTGACACACACACACAGTGACACACACACACACACAGCGACACACACACACACAGCTCGCTCAACCAGAGTGAGTTCACAACAACAACAACATTATATACAACAACAACATTATATACAACAACCACATTATATACAACAACAACATTACATACAACAACAACAACAACATTACATACAACAACAACATTATATACAACATCAACATTACATACAACAACCACATTATATACAACAACATTACATACAACAACAACATTACATACAACAACAACATTACATACAACAACAACATTACATACAACAACAACATTATATACAACAACAACATTACATACAAGAACAACATTACATACAACAACAACATTACATACAACAACAACATTACATACAACAACAACATTATATACAACAACAACATTATATACAACAACAACAACATTATATACATAGATACAACAACATTACATACAACAACAACATTACATACAACAACAACATTACATACAACAACAACCACATTATATACAACAACAACATTACATACAACAACAACATTATATACAACAACAACAACATTACATACAACAACAACATTACATACAACAACAACAACATTACATACAACAACAACATTATATACAACAACAACATTACATACAACAACAACCACATTATATACAACAACATTACATACAACAACAACATTACATACAACAACAACATTATATACAACAACAACATTACATACAACAACAACATTACATACAACAACAACAACATTACATACAACAACAACATTACATACAACAACAACATTATATACAACAACAACATTACATACAGCGACACACACACACACACAGCCACACACACACACACAGTGACACACACACACAGCCACACACACACACAGTGACATACACACACACACACAGTGACACACACACACACACAGTGACACACACTCACACAGTGACACACACACACAGCCACACACACACACACAGTGACACACACACACACAGTGACATACACACACAGCTCGCTCGCTCAACCAGAGTCAGTTCACAACAACAACAACATTACATACAGCGACACACACAGCGACACACACACACACAGCGACACACACACACACAGTGACACACACACACACAGTGACACACACAACAACACAACAACAACAACCGCCATTCGCCACCAAGTGGTGGTGACGTCACCACGACGCTTGTGCCAGGCTATGTGCACCGTGAGGCCACGTGAAGTGTCGAACGCCCATTGGCAGGAGGTCACGGGGCAGACCCAGGTGCCACGGGTCGACTGACTGAGATGACTGGCTGATGCACCACCTGTGCCCCCTACTGTGCCAACCTGCTGTGCTTTAGCCACCCGGCGCTCCGCTCGTTGTGAGCGTCGCTCCTCCGCCCTCGGTTGTTGTTGGAGGGCGACTGCCTCCAACTGCCCAGTAGCATCCTTCACGAGCCTCCTCCACAGAGGCCGATCTTGACACCGCTGGTACCATTCATAGGCAAGTCCACTCAGCTCCACGTCCTCCTGTACCACGTCACTCCATCTCTTCTCTAGCCCGTGCCGCGCCCGCTTTGCCCCCTCGATCCGGCCGAACAAAAGCTGTTTCGGCATGTGGGGAGTGATAGTGTAGTGGTTAGCGCTACGCTGCGCTATGAACCTGGCGACCCGGGTTCGATTCCCGCTCACGGCCAACACCACCAGTGACGATTATCTGAACCGGTCCCGGGCCTCCCCTAGGTCGACTCAGCCTCAAATGAGTACCTGGTGCGGTGTGTAAACATTGCCACTAGGGAGACAAAGGCGGTCGGGCGTGGTGCTGGCCACCCACCCCCTCGTTTACCGTTCCGGCCTTCATAGGTGCTCGCTAACAGCACTTGCCCCTACAGTCTGTTAAGGCTATATGGGGGATCTTTGTCTTTGTGTCTATCTGTGTGTGTCTCTGTGTGTGTCTCTCTGTGTCTATCTGTGTTTGTCTCTGTGTGTCTGTGTGTGTGTCTGTGTGTCTCTGTGTGTCTGTGTGTGTTTATCTGTGTGTCTGTCCGTGTGTGTGTCTCTGTGTGTCTGTGTGTGTCTATCTGTGTAAATCTGTGTGCGTCTCTATGTGTGTATGTGTGTGTCTGTGTGTGTCTCTGTGTGTGTCTCTCTGTGTCTATCTGTGTGTGTTTTTGTGTGTCTGTGTGTTTATCTGTGTGTCTCTGTGTGTCTGTGTGTGTCTATCTGTGTGTCTATCTGTGTGTGTGTCTCTGTTTGTCTCTGTGTGTGTCTGTGT